ACTATTACAAATAAAACCACCAAATGAAATTCATAGAGTACCACGCGTGTTATCAAGAAAAAAGCTTGGAAAGCAACCGAATGGAGATCATGGTTATTGTTTTATAGTATACTTTGTTTGACAGATATTTTACCAGAAGAACAATTAAAATCATATAAAATGTTAGTAAAATCAGTTTATACATTACTATCAACAAAAATTACAGAAGACGAATTATTGCAGTGTGAACTTGATCTTTGAAGTTTTTTAGATGATTGTGAAAAGGCATATGGCCAAGCTTTTATGACTTTCAACATGCACTCACTATCGCACATGCCGGAAAGTGTTCGTCAGAATGGTCCACTTTGGGCCACATCCGCCTATCCTTTAGAAAGCAACATCTTCCATGTGAAACAAGATATTACTGGTCCAAAAGGTGTTTTAAGTCAAATAGCTAATCGAATGTTGAGACGAAATAATTTACAAGATAGTATATCCATTGCACCAGACAATGATGCATGGAATTTTTGTAAAGAAATAATAAATAAGAGAAAAGAAGTTTCATCTAATTTCATGAGGAGCGGTGATGGAGCATTGTTAATGAATACTATAAGACGAAAATCACATGGCAATGACAACACATCGTATACTCGGTGTATATATAAAGGTACATTATTCGGACGTTTTGTGGAAACGGAAACAAAAAAGACGGATAACACTGTTGTATATTTTGGAAAAAATATCATTGGAAGAATAATGAATTTCCATTTAGAACATAATAAAACTTATTTAAGTGTTGTAATCTTTCAATTAAAACCATGCGATAGACTAATCATATATTTAAAATAGAAAAGAGAATAATAAGACCGAAGTCGTGCCCATAAGTGACGTCAAAAGTAAAGTTGTATATATTATAGTACAGAAACTTGATTCAACAAATGAAAATACATACCGAATTCTATCGAAGTTCAATAGACAAATATTAAAGAAAGTATATGTATTATGAGATATATAAATAAATAAATAAAAAAAACGTAACGTATTAACAATCTGTTTATTATCAATAAAGCACAATAACTACTAATGAAAGAAAACTATCCTGACGAGTACACTTCGTTGTTCAACAGAAATATTAAGAATAAACTGAAATGCCTAAGTAGCCAAATCAACGTAAGACTGACAACAGACTTACGTATAACAGCTAGGGTTTGTCATTTACGTATGGATCTGATGTTTTTCTGAAGCAGACGAATGTCACGGTTATTAGATAACCGTCAGAACAATTAAATGTAAGGAAGAGATAGCAATCTGACTAAGCCAGGAAGCAAATGAACGTAAGTCTGACGGAAATTCTTACGTCAAGGCTGGCTACTGAGGTGAATATATTGCCTATAAGATTTCACGAACTGTATTATGCAGTATTGAACAACTGATGAGCTTAATGTTAGTTGTATTAATCATATAAGTAAATAAAAAAAAGACTTATTCTGAGAAATATTTATTGTAATGTAAAGTGACATATGTTTGTAGTAAGAACATATTATCGCTATTTTTGAGAAGATCCATTAACTACAATAATTATTGAAAAGACAAGTTAATATGATTTTTCAATTATTAATGAGTTGTCATTTTGTGAACACTCAAATACTGTAATAATTAAACTTAATTTTTTATATTTCTATTGTATTGTTGAAACTATGAGGCTTCAAAGATTTATATGATACAGTATTAAAAAACTAATGTGCCTAATGTTGATATTATTAATCATACAATTAAGTATAAAAAAAGACTTATTAAACTTAATATTTGCTTTAATGTAGATTGATGAATGGTTAATGTGTACTATATGATAAATTAGTTTTTATTTTGAAAACTTCAAATACTGTTTTACTCAAATGAATGTTCTTAATTTACGTTGTATTATTTTAAGAATAATATTTTAAAAAAACTAGTATTATGCTCTATTCAAAACCTAATGTAACAAATGTCGATATTAATGTTAGTCGTATGTTTAAGATAAAAAAACTCTAACAGAGATATTCCATTTGGTGTTTGTCAAAAATAAATTATTATCTTATTAAATAAGCTCATGAATATTTCAGAATCTTTTAATGATTGAATTAAACTTTTGTTCGATTTTAGTTTTATAATTATTCATTAATAAAAAAAAATCGTAAAAGAACAATTTTATGAACACATACTCTTATACTCACATTCATCAAATGATAATCATTCTCAGGTTGTTGATAAATACTTATACATCAATAACAACGTTAAATCATAACTCATTATTTGTTTATAATTCATTTATTTTATCTTTATATACATTTATACAAAAAACTTTTATGAAATTTACTTCTTTCTTTATCACACAAGTTTTCTTATTCAATGGATAAATGGTATGGTGTAGCAATAATTAGAATACTGAATTGATATTTTGTTAGATAGAAGGACTTACTCTTGAATGTTTTATCATCTATTACATTTTCTAAAAGTACAAGACTCACGATAGTATTTACGATTCCTTCATTATTGTCTATTTTACCTTCAAATTACCATGAGCATTAATTGCAATCATAAAAAAACATATTATATACTCTACGATTAGCATTATGGCAGAAGTAAAGCAATCGCATCACGTTTTAATAAACCGAGTTGTTGATTCACATTTATTGGTGAATTATTCGGATTAAAATGAGCAGGACGATTATCGATGTTGACCAAAAAATCATCATGTTCAATACATAAATTATGCATATCACAACAGCATAATATAAATTTAGCATCTTTTTCTGCAGTGTAAAAGTCAATACTATTACAGTGCTATTAAAAAGTCTGTAATTATAGAATGTACGATGAGTTACAAAAGATAAACAATAGAATCAATAATTAAGCGCTTTTTAAAAACGCTTTCGTGTGTATAAAACCACCTTAATACGAATTTACCTATGACAACTCGAACACATGCAATTTAAACCTGTACTTTAACCCGCTCGACTACACCCATAGAAGATATTTATTACTGTTAGAAGTTATGTCATTTTTTATTAAGAGGATCATATAATCCACAGTAAAATATAGATTGAATTGGTCCCATTACATTCCTTTATAATTACATAGATTTGTTAACTGTGAAAAAAATTTTTTTGTACTGTAACAAAGCTATATTTTATAGTTACGATGAAATCTCATCAAAAACACCCCCCTTCTTTTGAGCTGTATAAAAATGTGCGTCAAGCGTGAATAATGACACTGATGGAACACAAAAAAGGCTGACATCATTAAACATCTACATCTAAGAATCAACAATATTTGAAATGAATTATTTTTTCGGTTTTGTTTTTCAAAGTTAAGTCCATTAGTAGATAGACTATGAGAGTTCTACCGCACTTTTTTTTTTCTTGGGATGCTGCGGTAGAACTCTCATAGCTGTGCACGCTAAAGTGGGGATAAATATTGTGGTAGAACTCTCATAGCTGTGCACGCTAAAGTGGGGGGTGAAAGTGTCTGTAAGGTTTTCATGGTAGAAAGCTGTAAACGTGAAAAGTGGGGGGTAGGGGGTGTCTCTAAGGTTTTTGTGGTAGAACTCTCATAGCTGTGCACGCTAAAGTGGGGGGCGAAGCCGTCTCTAAGGTTTTTGTGCTAGAAAGCTGTAAACGTGAAAAGTGGGAGGTAGGAGGTGTCTCTAAGATTTTTTGTGGTAGAAAGCTGTAAACGTGGGGGAGTTCTTGGGTTTGTTCAGGCGTGGGAGAAAATCTGACTATTTCAAAAAAAATTAGTTTTTTCTATTCTCGATTCGATCAACTCGCCGTGACCATTATTTGGCGTGTATTCGAGTTGAGAGCGGTGAGATATATTCAAGTCATTATAATATTGGGGAACATAGACTGTCACGAGAAGATTCTACATCAGCATGCTTCAATACAATGTTTATTCATGGATTAAAAATGGATAATAACCACAATCATCAGAATCAAGGAGCAATTGATGATTTCTTGTATGGCATCGATGAAGAAGCAAGTTCTTTAGGAGGAATCATAGGATACAAAGGCGGATCAGTTGAACGAGACAAACTCACATTCTTGGGAATTCAAAGTTATAATATTGAGAAGCTTGGATGTCCAAAATTCGAAATATTATATAATCAATTGCGAGAACAATGTCCGGACTTATTTGAAATAATGGAAACATTGGATTGTCTTCAGCATGATGAATTGAAAGTTCGTAAGGGTGAATCAACTCCTAGAATTGCTCATTGTCCTAAGAAGGAGGTTTACGCTTTCAATCAATTTCTTTTAGGAAATATTTAATAATTATGTTTTTAAAAAAATGTATATGTTAATGTTTTTTATAAATATGTATATTGAAAAAATGTATCAAATATTGTATATAATTTTTTCTTTTTGAATAAACTGTAAGATTAATGATATGTATGCTTTTGAATTATTTTAAAAAAAGAAAAAATAACCTCTAATCCTAAAATATTTCTAAGATTTTTTTTTTTTAAAGAAATTCAACTCTTTTTTTTTTTAATTTTTTATTTGTATATAAATATATAAATGATTACAATTTTTAAAATAAAACTTAAATATAAACATATAATTATTTTTTAAATCAATTCTCAAATTTGTCCACTTAATGGTTTATATTCGACTATTCTATCATGTAAAATTAAACAGTATGCAGTTGTACTCAGAGGAAACACTTCAGTAGCTTCAAATTCAAGACGAACATCGACTGGTCCTGCTTTAATAGATTCATTTTGCCTTGAACAATCTATTACAATGAATGGTCTTCTTTCCATAAAATTCCCTTTATTTAAGTATGGTCTTTTAATGTTTTTACTATAATAAGATGAATAAAAATTCGTATACATTTCATACAAAAGTGCATATTTACTATTTAAAATATCAATATTCATGTTAGCATATGGATATTGCTGTGAATTTAAATAAACAGCAAAATCTTTAATTTTACAATGATCAAATATATCAGCACGTTTTGATAATTTATTTTTACGTTCAGTTTGTTGGTTTCTCTAGTTGATTTGTTGTCTTCACAGACCAGATGTGTTTCGTTGTTATAGGTAAAGATGGATATTCATATAGCTCCCATGATCTGAAGGGTATCGATATCGATGGATCTTTACTGATGTAACTTAACATATCAAGTTTCTTTGAATCAGACATTGTAACATATGGCACTAACCATTCAATTTTATCAAGAGTAATTTTTACATTTTCAGCCGCTGTATTAGCTATTTCAGTTTGATGTATTGCATTCAAGTCAGTGTTAGCTCTTATGAGTATTAGCTCATGTTTACAGTTAACAATGACTTGTTTATAATCCTCAGCAAATCCAAATAATAATTTTAATGGTATGATGACGTCAAAATTTCCATTGGAATCACATAGTTTTTTATTATCAAGTACCATTCCACTGTTTTCCAAAGAATATTCTTGCTCTGGTGTAAATGATGGAAATCCCTTCATGAGTGTTGTAATGCCCACATTTTTACTACGATCAATTTCAACTCCATTTAATTCATATCTCATTTCTTCAAATAAGAAACAAGCAAACATTGTTGCAAGTAAAGATTTGTTTGATGTAGCACTCCCATTGTCTTTTGTAAATTTACCAGTGATATGAATTGAACTTTCACATGGTAAAATACATAAATCTTGATGTTGTACAGCTATACGTATCTCATCATTGTTTTTATATAATGATTCGGTTATTTATTTTTATTATTTCTCAGCTTATGTATTAATTATTCATGAACCTTTACAATGTTCTTTAATTGATTGTTTAATTCATTAGGAGATAAAATGATTTCACAGCGAATTTAATTGATACAATATAAAGCGCATAAGGGCTGAAGAAGGTGGAAAAGAAGAAAGAAAAATAGAGATAAAAGATTTCCGGAAGTTACTGACTGAGTGACCGACTCTAAATTCGTTTACACTTGTGACATTTGTCAGGATTTATCCAGTGTGATGGACGAGAAAAGGAAGAGCAAGAGCGAAACTCACCCCTTGCTCTGTTAAGTTTGACAACATATGGTCGGACTTGAGGATGAAAAACCGAGAATGAAGAAGGACACAAAAAAGAGGGATGTTTGTACATACGCGAATAAAGGGCAAGGCAATATCAGGAAATAGAGAGGAAGGAGAAGACAAAAAAAAACGGGAAAACGGGAATCCTAGTGGAATTTTGTGGTGATACTGTGGTTGTAAAGACACGAGATGTATCTACCGTTCAGTGGGTCTATGGAATCGATCACTCAGTGTGGAATTAAATTACTGGTGATGTATTGAATGTGTTTGGGATTTTCTATTTGATCAATGGTCCTCTACAAATAAATTGATTTAATTGAAACTTTTAATGAATTCACTAAATCATTCGTAATCTATCATTTGGTCGTCTGACGGTAATTCTACTGTTTGATAAAATATCATCATAAAAAAACTTCATCATCATATGTAATGCAAGATAGTTACTTACTTAGTGTGACATGAAATCTTGAGGGTAATTGAAATCTGTTCTTTATTTATAAATTGTAAAGCTTGGTTGATTGGGGAGAATAATTAATAGTTGGTTACATTCATGAAACTTTAGTAATTTGGTTCCTACTTTGTAAAATACCTCAACTCTGATTATTTTGGTGTTTCAAGATTAAATCAGTTTGAAAGACATCTATATTACGATATTATGATAGACTAGTCTCAACTATATTGCTTTAGACACTAGAATATTTAAATAGTTTTCAAGCATTTTAATTAATAAGTCAAATGAACTTGAGGACAAAAAGGTTATTTAAAATTGAAAAATCTAGATTAGAATTTTATTTTCTTCTAACGGTAATATTGTAATTTATTCAAAAAGTTTGCAAAAACCTGTTTCATATTCGAGCAGCTTTAAAGAGTTTTTCTGGAATTTAACGCGTAAGATGTCTAGCTAACTTTTTGGAGATATAGCTTGGAGTAATCCAAGCTGGATGTAACGAAGATTAATTAGTTAATGGCGAATTGTTTGGTCGCACGATACGACATAGAACATGAGGTAGATTTCAACAGTCGCGGTTTTCACAAAAGGGTGCGGATAGCATTGATGGATCATGGTTGAAATATTGGATGGTAGTAATATTGAAGAGGCAAATGTACAAGAAAGACAAAGAGATGTCTATTTTTAGACAATACGTGTCTTTATCATAATATCAAGCTCTAGATTGGAGACAATGACATGGCCAGGAAAGTCAGTGACATGTCTAGTAGACTTCTTTTCAAGTGAGTTATGTCTTGATGAACAATTTTAAGCAAGTGTGATGGGCACATTCGTTACAATTGTCTCTGAATCACAGAGTTGATGGTAATTTAGCTGAACAACAATGCGTCTGCTGGGCTGGGTTCTGGATATGTCGTATCAACTACACAATGGTAGAAACGCTTCTTGCTCACGTGGGTGAAGCCTGTTCTCGTGGATTTATTTGTCTGGGATGCGGATCCTCCAAAGAGGTGTCTGTGGTCTCGGATGATGCTGAAGGTGCGATAAAAGGGCGCGCCACGATTAGGTGTATTTATTGCCAACTTCAGTCTTCTGTTTTAGTTTTTTCTTACATCCCAGGTGTAGCGAAATAGGCGGCGGAATACACAGGAACGGATTACCACTTAAAGTGACCGTAACAAAAAGAAGGATGAGGATAACAGCTTATCTTAATACTCAACAATTTTATTCTTTTTCATTTTTTTTTTTGCTATTATTATTATTAAAGGCATCTATATCTTTAAGAAATAATCTTGACTAATGTTTCTGATGCTAAGAATAATTATTATCAAGAGATCTAAATACTTGATACAATTTTAATTATCTGATCTTCATGTGAGATGATATATGTACTAGTTAATTCTCTCTAAAAAGAAGTTTATCTCTAAGATATTGTGAAGAAAAAACTATTGAAAAAAAATTCTTCAGAAAGGAAATTATCTTAATCTGATGAGGATTAAAAAAGTATAAATTTGAGATTAAACTAATTAATTGAAAATAATTATCCTTTAGATCTCACCAAAACACTCTAGATTTTTCTTATCAAATGATATATAGCTCTTTTTTCAATTTAAACATTATAAAAATGAAATTTAGCTAATGTGCACATTGTTAGGAGTTTTTTTTGTCCGGAACCTTTTAATAGACATTAACAAGAGTATTTACGTTGACATAAAAAGCTTTGGATCCTGATTGGCCGTTGAAGGCATCAAAATACTTTCATGAGTTGTAAGAAAACAAGCAAAAAGACAAACCAAGTGAGACACTAGAGTACCAAGTAATGTCATTGTCGTCTTGTTCGATCGTTCAGAAACGCCGGAAGCCATGATTCGATAGTGGAGAGAAGATGTCTTAGGGTCTTGAGAGAGATTCTCTTTGCAAGTTATGGCACGACCTGCGTCAGCTTCACGACTTGATGCCGATCCCTGTTACTAAGAATGAATAGCCGGCTTGGGAGACGTCTCTGATGTCGTCGAGTGCCAACCGATGATGCACCCGTGGCGCTTAAACCTGCTAACAATGGAAGCAGTGGTAACAAGCCACCAGATCTTTTCGTTAAAGGTAGACGACGTTTACGCTGTGGAGTTTTTTTTTTCTTTATCTGTCCTCCTTTCACTCTCTTCTTTCGTGAGTTAACTTTCTTTTTCTTCAATCCCATACCAAATTTTGTCTTGAGTTTCATAGCATTCACAACACCCCACGCTGCTATTTTTTCACCTAAGCCAGCGTCTCTAGCTAGCACACGTTGCCACGCTTTTTCAGCAAGCATTTTATCTGCTAAATGTCTCTCTGATAGATTTTCTCTATTCTGAGAATATGCTATATCATGTGCTCGACAAGCAGTATCTAATCGATTGATTCCTTGATCACCTCGAGCCAATCGCTGTTGTAATTTTGTACCAGGTCCACAAAATTGATAGCCTGGGATATGTAATTCAATAGGTAAATTATTAATGACTTTATTCAGTATTCCCGCTCCTTTTTTAGATGTTTTTCTCTTAACAGTCATTATTCAACCAAATAAAAACTATAAAAGTATCGATATTTAAATCTTTACGCTTAGTTATTATCGAGATGGAGTTTAAACCACAAGATTTGAAATTATCTGTAGAAAATTTTGATAAAATTATACCAATGGAAAAAAATACAAAGACTAAACGTCATGGTGAATTATTACCAAATACTATACGCTCAGTTATTTGTGGACCGTCTAATTGTGGAAAAACAAATGCATTGTTGGCTCTCATCACTCATCCAAATGGATTAAGATTTGAAAATATTTATCTGTATTCTAAATCATTTAATCAACCTAAATATAAATACTTGGAGAAACTACTCGAGCCGATTGATGACGTTGGTTTTTTTCCAGTCAATGATAATGAACAAGTTGTAAAGACAGATGATGCTCAACCTAATTCCATTATGATATTTGATGATATAGCTTGTGAGAAGCAAGATAATGTTCGAGCATATTTTTGTATGGGTCGTCACAAAGATGTTGATAGTTTTTATCTCTGTCAAACTTATGCGAGAATCTCAAAACAGCTAATACGGGATAATGTAAATTTTCTCATTCTCTTTCGTCAAGATGAAATGAATTTACGGCATATATACAATGATCATGTTAATACAGATATGAAATTTCAACAATTTAAAGATTTGTGTACTTCATGTTGGAATAAAAATAATTATAGTTTTCTTGTCATCGATAAAGATAGTGAAATCAATAATGGACGATATAGAAGAGGTTTTGATTGTTTCATATGTATAAATTGAATGCTTTATTCTGAAAATATACATTTATAAATAATTGTTTGTTAAGTAAACATCATCAATATGAGTGAATTGAGTGGGCAACTGGAGGAGGCAGTCAATGTCTTGGAAAAATTGACGAAAGTCAGTGATGTTATACGTCGAAAACATGAAATGATTAAGCATGGGAAAAATGATAGTGAATATTCATTAAATGAATTTTTTAAGCCCGCAGTAACACCATTGAATCAACTTATAAATGAAAAAAAACATTTCTCCTAAAATACCATTATTAAACGATGATAATGTAAATATTTCAATGAATGAAAGACAATATGCCACATCGAGAAAGAGAAAATTCAATCGTCAGAAGCTGGATATTTTCTCTATTTATAACGATAACATGAAAAAGAAGAGACGTGAAGAAATCAATCAAAGCAAAGAAGTTGCAGCAGTATTAAAAGCTATGAAAAGACCGAACCCTATATATAATTTAGAACGTGAAATGATGGAAAATACAAAAGTACGAGATAAAGAAGAAGAAAAAGCAGCAGAAGGAAAAGACAGAGAAGCTATAGGCGAGGAAGAAGGAGCGGTGGGGGGAGAATAGGAGGGATCTGTAGAAAGAATGGAAGTTGTAGAAGAAGAAGAAGATCAACGACAAAAGCCTACAGCGAGTATGATGTCAAGCACCCCCCTCAAAATCACCGAAACAATAAATAAATACATAAAAATGCTCAGAGATAATAATCAAAATATGGATACAAAGTGTGGTGTAAGAAAACTT